CACACTGGGCTCATTCCTTCCATTTCATCATCTTCTTAATCCTTCAACTCCTCCCAGATCCTCCATACCTTTATACCAGCCAACTGCATAATGTCCCTTTCTTCCTCTCCAAAACCACTAAAAGTATATCTATTTGTCTTTTTTATTACTTTTACAATAAATGCAGTTTTACAAAAAACTAAATTTTATTAGTTTTACAAAATAATAAGTTTAATTATGGTGATTTCATGTCATCATATCTTACTCACAGGCCCACCCCTTCTACTCATTCTCATTCTCATTCTTCTATTTCTCACACTCACCAATCCCCTCCTCTTTCACTTGTCAATTGGGAAAAAGATCAATATTTCTAAATCTCTACTTCATAAAGAGCTATTTTTTTAACTTGGAGATAAGGAGAGGATAACACTGACTACAGTTTGATGATGGATTGTTTTCTCCAAGAAATCTGTATCTAGTGCTCTATATGTTAAGGCTAGTTCTCTCCTGGAAGTCAACTATAGAAATGAGTAATAGAAGTGTGTTATTTGGAATGTACGTTCCTATCAACACACATAGTCTCGCACACTCTTGATATTGCATATTTATTAGGACATAATAGAAATGAGAAAAGGGGTTGTAATTTTTAGTCATTATTGAAGTAGGGACTGAAATGGGATAAAGATAGAGAAATTCTCAGAGATTTCCTCAAGAAATAGAATCTAAAATATATCCAATCAGGGAAGTCTGAAACATGATTCCAATCATGTTTCAATACTCTGACAAACTAGCATGCACTATATATCTCAAATAGTATTGCGCCCAAGGTAACCCTCAGCATCATGATTTTCTGAGACTTGCAAGACAAAGCTGTTCTACTCAATATGGTTGATTACCATGCAGCACACATTAAAGCCAGTAAGTGAAGAGATGAGGAAACAGGGCACAGACTTCTAGAATAGGACAAAATTCTCTCTGCAGTGACAGGAGCACCTACCATGTGTTCTCAAACAAAGACACTGAACTTGAGCCTTAACATTCAAGCTTGAGCCTTAACATTCAAGGTTCCCCTGAAGAGCCCCCATGCAGACAGCCACTGAAATGCTAACACCTTCAGCTTCAAAATTGCCTACCACTCAGGTCATATCATCGCTATCCACCTTCATAGCCCAACAAGGACCAAGGCTTCTTATTGTAACAGAAGTAATATCCTAAGAACCATCTTGAAGACAGTCTTTATATGGAATGAATGAAGAGAATTTGGTAACCTAGATATGCCCATGAGGCTTGACCTGATGATTAGAATCATCAATAGGTCATTTCATGAGCCAATAAATTTATTTGACCTTTAAAACTTGTGACCAAATTTTGTCAGCCCCATTCTACAAATGAAGAGTCGACAGCTTAAAACTGTTCTCAGGTCAGGACTGGGTTGTTCTCATTTTAGTACTTCCACATGATGGTACCAACTATATTACAGGACTTCTTAACCAAGATTTTCTTCCCTCTGCTACTTGAAAGGCCTCAGAAATAGTTCTATTTTTTTCTCTCATTTCAATACTCAGTTACAAATCAGTGTCTAATTTTCACGGCCAATGATAAATGTATATGACAGGCCATGGCCTGAAGGTCCAAATTTATGCTGTCACCTCCAGAGTCCTAGACTGATATAATTTCCTTCCTAACAATGTCCAGATAAAACAAAGCAAACTTTGGAGCACGTGTCCACACTACTAACCTTCAAGAATTTTTTATGATCCCAGACTATTCCTCAGTGCTGAAGAGGTCCTTCAAAAACTTTATTTAGGTAAATAGGAGCTGCTTTCTACAAGAGGACCCAACTTTAGTTTCTAGCACCCATGTCAGGCATCTCCTTACCACCTCTAATTCTACCTCCAAAGGAACTGATGCCCTCCTCTGTACTCTGTGAATGTGGCCTGTATGCAAACATGTGAAAATACTTGCACACAGACACACTCATACACATAAATAAAAAAAATTAAAATTAGCTAAGAAATATTTGTTGTGTACAAATATCTTAAGTGTGAAGAAAGATATTACCCTTATCTTTAATTATGAACAAACTCTAGAGTTTGGTCAAATACACATCAACCATTTTTTCAACTTTTCACAAAATAAATGTACCCACTGAATGTTTTTAATGTCAAGTTGTTGGGCATGGAGCTAGGACATTTGAATGCAATGAGCACCCACCTCTGTCTGGGATTTGCAAAACAAAGTTTTATGGAAAGAGTATGTTCAGGGAAGAGGGTTGAGTCTCATAATGTTTATATGAACTATGTGGGATACTGTTAAGATACAGATTACAAGTTAAGACCATGAATAATTTTTCAGTGGTATAGCAATTGCTGTCTTGGGGCCCTACTTTTAAAAGCAAGTCAAAGGCAATCTAAGTTATTGCATCCTCCTTATCCTGTCCTGTATTATTGGCTTGCTACCATGACACTGTTTAAACAGATAAGAAAAATTCTACTCTTCTGTTTCTTATCCTCCTTCAGACAGAACATGTTAAGGCAAGGACTCCCAAACTGTTCAAGTCAACTTGACTCACAAAAGCAATAAGCTGGAATACACATGTGAATAATCTAAACCTCCCCCTTGGTTGATATAATCATGGTGCAGAAGAAGCTCCTTGTACTTAATGTTTCTTTACTTTTTATAATACATTCAAATGCTTGTTTCTCAAAGAAAATAAATGGTAGTTATTTCCAAAATTAGGGAAACCCTTCTGTAAGCATTCAGAGTTCCCTACTGGGCAGAATTAAGTCTCAGGAAGTGGACAGGCATCAGCACTTCACATCTCAATGATTAAGTCTGTAAAAACAATTTGTGCCTTCATTATCTCATTTCCTGAGGCTAATAAGCAGTGTTTTGCACTTGACAGTGAACAAAACCTCCATCTCAAACAAGATGTGCTCAGGACTTATCAATGGTTTTTCTGTGGCTTTTGCATTTTCCAAACACCCCTGCATCAACAAAGATGGCTCATTTATTTCATTTTGTGAAAACTCTCCTTTTTCCCCAAGACTTTCCATTTCACACCATGTGAATTTTATTAAGATCACTTTCACAGAAGCTAAGTACTAGTTGGATGGGCCCGGAGGGATGACAGTCACAGCCTGGGCAATGTTGGAAGTCTCTTGAGACATTTCTTTGCTACTAAAATCCCCTTGGAGAGTCATAGGGAAGAATCCAAGTTGTCCAGTAGTTTTTGTCTCATGATATTTTGACGTTGTAACCTGTAAATCTTTCAATGATATTAACTTAAAACCAGCAGCATAGAAACCCAGCTAGTTCTTCATATTAGAGTATTAATATCACATGGATATAGTCTTCAGTTACGGTTAAAGCTGGGCTAAACTATTAATTAAAATATGATTTTATGTTATAATTAGCCTTTATTAATAAAACTGATCTGTAAATCTATTGTCTAATAATTTTCAATGTAGACTTTCTTATCAGGTGTTTGAAAATGAACATAGATTTTGAGATTCTGTTATAATATCTAATAAGAATTTCAATATTATTTTGTTATCACCAATAGCACTAACTGCATTATACTTCTTCCTAATTTATAACATAAAATAATAACTGTTTGTATCATACAAAAATAAATTAACTCAGCCTTTCTCTAGAGTGCCTATTTATTCAATGACCTCTAAACTTTCATTATTATCAGTTCTAAACTTTATAATGAAAGCAGCTAAGAATTTTTAACACTCTGAGTATGCTAGGCAACACTGTAAACAGTTTACCAACTCTTTAACATTTAAGATCAATATTAACTGGTTCTATTATTTCTGTTTTGTAAACATAGCAGAGATAGGCAGGTTGAGCATCTTGCCTAAATTTACACCCCTGTTAATGGCAGAATCTATGTTAAAACAAAATAGGGTATGCACAATAGACATTAAAACTCATGTGTTTGCCCAAAAGGTAAATCATATGGTAGCTGTTGTAATTTAAGGAAAGTAATGGGCAAGAGAAAGATGCCATGCGACAGGATTTAAGCAGAGGATTTTGGGTTTTTGTTTTTTTAATTAGGGAAAGAGATCATAAAAAGGGGGAAAGGAGAGACTGACTTCATTGGACAGGAGCAGCAGGAAAGGGCAGGCAGGGAAGGAGGAAGGGAGGGAAGTATGTGACCACAAGAGATGATCTGTAATCTGTAAGGTCAAGGTATCTTTGTTGAGATAAATATCAGCTAAACGCAAGCCAGAGCGTGCCCAGGGCATCGGAGCAGCGAGCCCAGGGAGAAGGGGCTATCATGTGCTCTGCAGTCCCTTAAGAGCCCATGCAGAGTCATCCTGACCTCACCTTGACCACACCTTGACAGGCGTGGTCAGGTACACCTGTAGCCAGCCTCTAACAGGCTTGGCTTACTGTGCCCTACAGGAAAGGCTGGAGGAGGAGAAGGAGGGGGAGGGGAAGAGAAAAGGAGAGGGAGGAAGAGAGGGAGAGAGGGAGACAGGGAGAGAGGGAGAGAGGGAGACAGGGAGAGAGGGAGAGAGGGAGACAGAGAGAGAGGGAGAGAGGGAGAGGGAGAGAGAGGGAGAGAGAGAGACAGAGAATGTGAAGTGGGCAGGACCCTTTTAAAAGGGAACACAGTGAATAGGCACAGGTGGTACACTTAGTGGCAACAGCTGAGAGTGTACCCTGTTAGGACCCCACCAGCAGGCCAGTATAGAGACTGAATACTAAGCTATTTCTGAGAGAAGGGAAACCTCACTGTCAGTATTCAGACTTCAATACTGAGCATATCTAAATCATTTTTACTTGTTCCTGAACAGTTTGGAAATCATTTAAAACCTTGAGAACACTTGGATTTTCACCTTTAGTTCCCCCCTAATGTAGCATTTAGAGATGCATATATTGGATGGTTTGTTCAAGAATGAACTAGCACGAAGGAGGAAACCTGAGAGTAAGGGCATCTTTGATATGGAAACTGTTGACACATTTGAAGCCACAAAGACCCATCTCTCTTATCTCTTTTTTCACAGAATGTGTGACACAGGAGAAGGACTATTCACTTTTCAAACAAGGGAAGGAGAAATGATCTATCAGAAGGTCCATTCTGCAACACTGGCCATAGCTGAGCAACATGAAAGATTAATGCTAGAAATGGAGCAGAAGGCCCGGGTAAGGCTCCATCCTCTGTAACTTAATGCCTATGAATGAATGTTCTTAGGCTGATACATACTATATTTATATGAGTACATTTGAGTAGTGCATGGTGTTCACAAATATTCTGCCCAATATCAAACCTGTGAAGGCCAACCTTTAAGGTCTACAATACCCTAATCAGTATATCACTGAATCCAGAGCCTCTCATTTCCTGTGGAAATAAAAGCATAACCTGTTTCCCAAAGTAACATATCTTCTGACTTAAATTTTGAAGTCAAGATATTTTTAAAATATATAGATGAGTTTAATGTAGCAGCTTTTGTAATCAAATGTCTCTCAGCAATTATTATTTGTTCATTAGCAGTCAAAAATTTGAAGACAACACAATAACATACACAATCCAGACTGTATTTTCCATCTTTACATGGCTTATTATATTTCTTTTTACTCTATTTCTTTTTTAAAAAAGATTTATTTATTAATTATGCATACAGTGTTCTGCCTGCATGTATATGTGCATGTCAGAAGAGGGCACCAGATCTCATTACAGATGGTTATGAGAACACCATGTGGTTGACAGGAATTAAACTCAGGACCTTTGGAAAAACAGCCAGTGCTCTTAACCTCTGAGCCATCTCTCCAGCCCCCTCTCTCTATTTCTTTTTTAAGGACTTTCTCTACCCTCTTTTTCTTTTTTCTCCTAAGCATGTATAGATTTTTAAACACATGGTAACCTGTTTAGAGTTTAGTTTTCTGCCTGAATCTGGCTTTACTGCATATCTGTAATATTTTTTGTCTGCATGAGCAAGAAAATATGCTGTGTAACTTAAATCATGGCATGTTGGCAGATGGCTACTCCCCCTTGGTTCCCAAAAGTATAGTCTCATGGTGGAGGTATGTTTACCACCAGCTCTGGGAGCCATGTTTACCTCCCCAACTCTAAGAAGTTTCTGGTACAATTCTGCCACCAAGTAGCATGCCACCTGCTGCTCATAAACACCCTATAAGTGGTTGGTAGTGAGGCCTCTTAAAAGAGCTGCCCATATTTGCCATTTGCACGGAGCAAGGAAGCTGTCTTTTAAAAGAGCCATGCCTCTGCTCACCACCAGAAAAGAGAGCACACCTGAGAAATTGCAGCTACCAAGAAGCCGTGTTTGACTCCATTCTTGTATATCTTGAATCATTTTTTTAAGCTCTGTCAGGCTTTATTTGAAAATTTCGGACACATGTTGGAATGCCATATGTAAACATAGGTTTCCAGCAAACGCCAAGAAGCAAGTTGAGAATGCCATACTGAGAAAAAGTACCAAGCCATGTGTTAAAAACACAGATAAGAAATATGGGTTAATATAAGAGTTAACTAATAACTAGCCTGAGCTACTGTCCAAGCATTTATAAGTAATATTAAGCCTTTGTGTCAGTTATTTGGGAGCTGGTAGTTGGGACAGGAAAACTTCACCTAGTTATTAAACCTGTTTTTTTCCATTATTAACATTTCTTTACTAGAGCCACATCAGCTGAAGTATTTTGATATGCCCCCATCATCTAAGTCGTGCTATATTTTTATTGTCCCTTAAAAGGGCTGATTAGATAGTTGAGGGGGTGCTTGTGGTGATATCTGACAACCTGAGTTCAGTCCTTGGAACCCACAGAGTAAAAGCAAAGAATTAATTCCTAAAATCTGTCCTCTGACATCCACACACATCATGACAGGTGCACACATCTGCACACTTATGTGCACACTCACGCACGCGCGCGCGCGCGCGCGCGCGCGAACACACACACACACACACACAAATAAATAAATAAAAGTAATTAAATGTTTTAATAAAACAATCTGACATGTACAAAATTTTCATCAATAGTGAATAGAACAGTACATTTTCAATTAAGCAGTATTGAGTATCATCACAAAAATTACCTACTAAGTTGCTAAGACAAAGATTTATATTTTGATTTCCCTCACTGAGAAAGTTGATGAAATAATTAATATTGACTAACTCAATTATGGTGTTTTGTATACATGGTAGCTTCTTATTAACTGGCACAAGATCATTATGCACTTTTTGGTAGTTAGTGAATTGTACAGATGAATACAAGAGAATAGAAAGGAAGTTTCCCCTTTCAGCTTGCCTACAGTATTGTGAGATCAAATAGTTTGTATCAGCTGCTGGATGAAGGCTCTAGAACAGCATGTAAGTTAGTCTCATTATCAGAGGAGGGTATTTAAGGTAGCCTCTCCACTATTGCTTAGATTTATAGTTGGGGTCATCTTGTAGATCTCCAGACATTTCCCTAGTGCCTGATTTCTCTTTGAACCTATAATGGCTCCTCTATTATGATATCTTTTATTTTGCTCTCCTCTATTCTTCCCCTGACTCAACTTTCCTGCTCCCTCATGTTCTTAACTTCTTGAAATATAAATGTTCTAAGCTTTAAAGTAACCATGTATAAGACATCATTATCATGACATTTTAAATAAATGACAATAAAGCTGTCATGACAGTGGAGTCAAATTGAATTTCTGGGTAATTATCTCCTGAAAAGCCCATCCATGGATCCTTCAGAGAGAAGCCCTCTACAGAGTAAGAGGGCTTTCTTAACTGCTGCATTCACACAGTTCCTCAGTTCTGCCTTCTGTAAAGAGCAGAAATAACTCTGTATAATGCTGGATCTTAGGTGGTTTCAACATTTTCTTTACATTTTAGATACAAATATGTTTTGTACAGAAAAACAAAGGTTTATTTCCACTAAGAAGATTGCCAACTATGGGTTTCACTTTATGAAGGGAAACTGAAATCCAATCAGAAAGTGGTTGCTAGATGACAAAGAAACTGTTTTCTAGACATAGTTGGTCAGTTTTACAGAAGAATGCACAGTAAATCAATATTTAGCTGGACAGTGGTGCTACATGCCTTTAATCCTAACAATTAGGAGGCAACGGTAGCTAGAATTCTATGAGTTCAAGGCCAGCCTAGTCTACAAAGCAAATTCCAGGACACCCAGGATGTTACACAAAGAAACCCTGTCTAGAAAAACAAAACAAAACAAATATCCACACTTAAAATGCTTTTTTCCCCTGAAATCCTTATTTTCATTGTCACAGGAGAGACAAGATAGAAAGAGAAGGTAGTGAGATCTGTAGAAAAGTAATTTAAATATCAATGGAAAGTGAATGAACTCAGCCTTCTCCAGTTAAACTTCACGCAGCACTCACTAATTATTCATCACTGCCCGTCTATGAAATGATGCTCTATCTAAACAGCTGCATGGAGTGCTCTATCAGCCCTTAGATAGCATGTCAGACTCATAGGCAACTGCATGATCTGGAAAAAACTACCATATTGCATCAATTCTAAGATGACAGATCTGGTTTTGTTTCTTTTTCCTTCATTTTAGCAGCTCTCACTTAAATGTAGGTCCCAGTTTGACTGGCAGAACCAATCATTTGTAGTGCTTGGTATAATAATGGTAAGTCTTAAAATGGATGAAATTTTAGAGTGTATGAAATATAGTGATAGTTTTTACAAGTGGCAAGCATATATTCGTTTGTAACTTTTGAAGGAACTAAAAGGCTTCCCAAATGGGTTATATTCTTAGCAGTTTGGCTTCCACTGCAGGATTCCATTAAAACATTCTTCTTAGACACATTCTGAGGGAGTTCCATCAGCATGAAAAAGATACGGTTTTCTACAGCAACAACTTGGAATCATCTTCCTGTGATGATAGACAGAATATCTTTAACATGCTTGTCTGGGTATAGTCTCAGAAGCTTTAAAATTTCAGGAATCATATGCATATACAAGGGGCAAATGATATCTATTGAAACTAAATAAAGTGCTGGGGAGATGGCTCAACAGTAAGGAGCACTTACTGTGCTAGAAGACCAGAAGGCCAAGGTTTAGTTTACAGCACCCACAACTGCTTGTAACTCTAGCTCCAAGGAATGCGGTGTTATCTTCTGGTTTCCATGGGTACCCATACATACATACACACGTGCACAAATACACATATGTGTACACACACATACACATAAAAATAAAATGAATCTTTTTTAAAAAAGTAAATGCAAATTGAGTTTTCAAATTTCAAGACTCTTCTATTCAATATTATTAATTATAATCAGAAGACAAGGGCATCAGTTATTAGTGACAATGGCAAAGTATCCATTTTGAAATATCAAAAACATATCCATGAAATTTTCTTTTTTTGATATGAAATGACTGTAATGAACCAACACAACTCAATTAAAAATAAGTTGTGGTCAATAATGAATGTTAACTTGTAGTCCTAACTAACCAATTTATTTACTAGTGTTTCATTTCAAAACACTGAAAAACACATTTATTTTTTCACAAACATACATGGTAGGATTCATGCACAGGAGAAACCACACATTTTCTCTAAAAATGAACAATAAAATGGACATGACAAAAGCCTGTATATAGTTTGTCTGGTCACCGAGGCTACAATACATTATTGATAGAAAAGTTCCTTTCTTTTAGCTGCAATGTGTTGTGACTAGTCCAGATGTCTCTTCAGAGACTACATGTCTCTGCATAGAGAGGGGAGAGGATGATTGACATTTCTTACTTCTAATCAGTTAAAGCTGTCACTATATAAAAAAAGGGGCTGCCTAATATAAAAGTTCAGAACTTCAATATTGAAAGTATGTCTGTTCCTCTTATTTTATTGTCGGGGCTAACTAACAATGAGAAACCAATATCAGATATTTTTTAAATGAAAAAAATAGATTGCAAAGATTAAAACAACTCAGTATACAAATAAAATATTTCAAGGGCAAGGAAACCTTATTTCAAAACAAACAAAGATAATAAATCTTTTTTGTAATTTATTTATTAGTTCAAATTAGGAACAAGCTTGTTTCACATGTCAATCCCTTCTCTCTCTCCCTTCCCTCACCCACACCCATGACCTACCCCCCATCCATTCCACCCTCCACTCCGCAGGCAGGGGCCCTTTATGGGGGCTCCCCAAAGTCCACCACATCATCC